CTGATTTTGCTCTTGCATAGGTTCCGGATAAGTTTGAATTTATCTGCGTCACTATCCAAGTTTGTGAGCTTGTACCTTGCAAAGAGGACGTTCCGTCCGTCCAGAAGCCGATGTATTGAACGGGGAGAGGAGGGCGGCTTTTGGTTGGGGTAAATATCTTGGGAACGAACAAGCAATTACCTGTTCGGAGTACGTTCTCAATTTGATCATTGAGTCTGTTTGCTTCTGAAGATCGGTTAGCAGAAGTCAGATTTGCTGCCAAGTAATCTCTTAGGGTAGCGAAGTTGGTCCGCTTGAAGGACCGCAAAGCTCTTGGTGCTGACTTATAAGATGACCAGTGAACGATGAAGTCAAAGCTCAGAGAGTGGTCACTCTTGCCAAGTGGGCAGAGTGTAGATCTCGTCGATTTGGTGCCGATTGTTTATCATCAAATCGAGTAGAGAAGGGGACGAAATCTGGTGGGAGAGCATACATGTTGGTGCCATGATCTCTCAGTAATAAGGTCTAAAAGCGGCTGACCAAAGAAGATTTCACGAGTTAGTCCTAGCCCAGTCAATAGCCGGAGCGTTAAAGTCGCCGGTTATAACGTGTGTAGAGGAGCAGCAGGATCGAAGAAAGCGAAGTTGGTTTAGAAAGGCCTGTGCTTGTGTCTGGTCGCTGGTTGGGGAGCGATAGATGACACCTAATAACATGGAATCTCTGTTGGAGGGAGATAGAATATGTGGCTGAAGATCTTTAATCTTTTGTCTGAGTTCAAGAACCTTGTTACTAAGGCTTAAACAGTTGATGTAAATGCATTTTAACACTTGTTTACCAGAAATTTCAAGAGACTTAGGATAAGAGGGGCGTCCTGAGCCTGGGTTTCTACGGAAGTTACGCTCTGAAGCGGCTTCTTCCCTTTGCTCACCATTTGGGGTGTCGGCTTCCTGCAGTTCGAGTACGGGGGTGTTCCTGGGGTTTTGCCTTCTTTATCTGTTTCACGCGAGCAGGATGAGGCGCTAACTGTTCTGGGGGTCCGGGCACCTTGCCTGCTTTGGGAAAAGGGGACGCAGCGGCTTTTCGGTGATTTGTGACATCAGTGGGGCTGATTGTTGAGGCCAGTTGCTTGGGATTTTGTAGAGGAATGACAGGTCCTCTAGGAAGAGTGGGGAACTGGGGTCGTTATTTAAGGGGATTTGCCCGTAGAGAAGGAGCAGCTTGATGAATGGGAAGCGGTGGTGGATTCCATAGGATTCCCCTTTTCGCAGGTTGCAACTTCTCCTGCTTATTGCACCTCCTGCTTACAAGCTTTTGGTTAGTTTGTTTGTTGTTTGCCACTCCGGAAGAAGAAATTGGGGTAGAACTGAACGAGTCACCCCCAGGTTAACTTTTTATTACGTTGTTTAGGTGAATAAATTTTACATGAAAACATTTCCCGTGAAATGTATAATACGAAAATGTAAAATGTGCATGTGGTAACATTTAATCCAATTTCCTTAATTCTTTTGTATGGTCGATCACTATGTCTCACCCTCCGTGGATGCGGTCATTTTTACCCCAAATTGAAGGAGGCTCCTGTGTCGAGTATCTACAAGATCAGAATATGCTACCCAAAAAGCGTGACTAATTTTGCGGACGACATGTAGTCAAAGTTTCGGAAGAACGTATTTCCGGCTGGAGCAAGAATTTTCACGTTATGTTGGCGAAAGCCTTTACCTTCCTGTGCAACCTTCCAGATATTACTCCCTCGTGCAGGGTCAGGTCAGGTTGCACAGGACTGAATATGGCCACGGCTAACCGAGCATCCAGAATTCCTTCGATGGTATGCTCACTGAGTGGGTACCCAGCACTGCTGAAATAAAAATGAGAAATAGGATCTCATCTCACCAAGTTGGCGAGTG